CTTTATATGATATTGATACCACGCCTTGCTACTGTTCTTTGTATGTATATAACAACAATCACTACCGGCATAGGTTTTATTATACAGGGAGATTCAATAAATACAAAACATATATTTGCACCATATTGTTAAATTATGTTCACAAAAAACACTGGTAATTTTATATTGTCTCTTTTAAATGCTGTATTATGATTTTTCTTATATTGTAATATTTCAAGGGTGGTTTCTCCCCCTTGGAACTGGAATTTCGAAAAATCCCTTCTTATATACTATAGATGTCACATGGAAATTCATTGTAGTACTACGTTGACTCACCCTGTATATACATACCGCTCCCCTAAAACCGTGTCAATGTCAAACAGTGCCTGCATTTAATTTATGACATTTTGGATATATACATCAGGATTTTCCTTACTAAAGGTCACACACACATACAACTTATTGATTTATATAAATTTTTAATTTAACAAAAACATTTTTAGAACTTCCTAATATACAAACCAGTTTAAAACAAGTCCTTTAAACTAGTTCTTATTGTAATCTAATTTCAGTTTAATTGTTTGACCTATAAAGGAAAGAAGACTAAATTATGGGTCTCTGGTGAATGAAGGATCTTGTGAATGGATAAACTTCAAAAGAGTATAATTGATCACAGATTGGCTTGGTAATCTCAAGAATTAACATGGGTAATCGTAAATATTAAGTAATTACGACTGCATTCAGACGGGTGAAGGTGTATGGTATCTATGTCAGACCGTCCCATAGTCATTGACCAAGTAATGACAGACGTAGATGCACTTGGTTGCATAACGTATCATTTCTTTCATTTTTCTCTCAACGCGGTGTTGTTAGACGAATTATATTGATAGACATACATTATATACTGAAAAATTCTAGTTTGCCACAGATTAATTGAAAAAGGTTATTAACAAGGATCGTATCATAACCAACATGAGATACAGGCCAGAGACATCGATTTGTGACGTCACCGCAATAGTCGGGCTTTTGAATTGTGCCATATGGTACTGCATATAGTTTTTGCATAAATAATAGTATTTATTGATAGCTTTGCCAGATATAAATATGAAAAATATTATACACAAAGGTATTAAAAATAACATTAACTTTTATCGCGTTAAAGTAATTGAATAGCATTAAAATTTAGATCTAAAACACGAATATTAATATGAAATGAACAACAGCATAAGATGAACAGAATAAAATCCAGATAATAAAAAAGCATGTCCTAAAATTGCGTTAGCGAGTATTTAGCAGCTAGTAATAATATACGTTAAGATAAAGTTTCCAAATATTAAAAATTTGAAAACTATACTTTATCGACAAGTTAAGAAAATGTATTATATACGATAAGGGCAGAATACATTTTAAAGTTTAGTTAAAAACAATTGTAAATTTGCCTAACATATTTAAAAATGTGGATATCAAGGTAGAATTAACTATTATCATTAAGTAATTTGTAGTTCGATGTTCAAGTAACTATTTCCATAAATCGTAAATAAAAAGATAAAGATATTTTTTTTTATATATAAAATACTGAAATAAAGTACAATTCATTTAATTTCTTTAAAATATAATGCCATTTCATAATAATAATAATAATTTTCAATATTTATTTTCATCCTGAATTTCCAAATCTTGTTTTCTTTTCATCGGGATGTTTTTCTCTTATGGGGAACATGCACAGTCATATAAGAGGGTTGATTTGGAAAATTGTAGGCACAGCATCTTCTGTAGGTTTTGGACGTGACTTAGTTACAGTTAATATTGTTGGGAAAGAGAATGTAGACAGATCCTGAGTACTTATTATCATTGCTGCTACAAGGCACAGGCACAGAACAATGTCGCGGCATTTTTTATTTCACAAAGTAAAAATAAAGAAACGACAACTGTTTAGCCGGTATCGCCGGTGTTACTATAATTTTTACCGAAAGTATGTTTTTTTTCGCGGGTACGATGTTATGAATCGGATCTAGATAGTTCACTATTCACTCAAAATTATTTAGTATAATTTTATTAGCATAGAAACGCGTAAAAAACACAGATTTGTTGCGAAACTAATGAAAACAATTGGTTTGTTTACGACTACTAATTCTCGACCACTTCGGTAGAACTGTCAAAATAGTCAGGCCTTGAATATGACGTTAGCCACGGCTGTACTGTTCGTACCTAAAATTCCAAACACGGGTGCTTTGATTAAGGCCTCATTACGATTTGCAGGACTTCAGCATTTGCCATAAATTATCTCTTTATTTTCGAGAAAATTTAGTTCAAACATAAGGAATATTTTGTTGATGTTTGACGATCAAAATCTTAAAAATAAAAAAGTTATCTAAAAATGTGCTACTATACGGATATAGTATAATTCTTTATATTTAATTTCCTTCTTCATTTGTGTAAAAATACCTAGCCAGTTTCACATAAAACGTTAAATGGCCATTGAAATGCATTGCTCTAGACTAAGAACTCTTGGTTTCCCTCTTGCTATACACATCTATAGTCAAAACAATATTAATACAAAAAAAAATGTGGTAAATAAAATTATTTTGGTATAATTAACATGAAAACTTGTATGTAACACTCGGTATATATCAGGGAAAAGAATCTAGAACGGTTGGTTGTTGATGCACATCGCATACCGTAAATGTTTGCATCATCACCGCCGTATCGCAATCTTTTGATAGATTGATTGTTACATTTTCAATGAAAACAGCAATCAATTATGCAGGTTTTGCATAACCGTTTCAGAAGAAATATTTAGAAGCAGTTATCAAATAATAATACAAAACAAAACGAACTAACTGAAAATAAATTGCAGTTGAATAATAGTTATTTTTTTTTATACAAGACGATAATGCAATTTTATCGTCGTGTATAAAACAATATTTTTTTCCATAGCCAGTTTACGTTTTAAAAATATTCAGAAATTATTATTTCAAAGGAATTTATTACGAGTAGAAAAATATTGTGCTGAGTTCGCGTTGGTTTCTATGTAATTTGACAAATGAATAAAGCTGTCTCTTTAGTTGTCAGTTTTGAGTCAATATTTTTAATTCTCTTTCGTATCGATTGCTGATTGAATTGGAGCCAGAAATGGCTCAAAACGAAATAAGTAAATTACCAACAGATATTCAGGCTGAGGCGACAAATGCCATATCCAAACTACTTCCATTTAAATCCCGAATAATTTATGAAAAGGAACACAAAATTTTCTAAAAATAGAAGCAATTAAAAAACGGGCGAGAAGAAATACAGTTTTTAACCTATCCTCATTGTTAAAGTACCATTTAATCTACACTTGCGGTTAAAGTAATATTTTATCTACTATTTTGATAGATATGAGGCAATTTTAACAGTTATGGAAAAAATTAAATCACTAAAGGCTTTTTACTACAATTTATTTAACATAAAAACGGAACTATGCTGCACTTTCAAATATTATTGTATTAAATGTACGAGGAAGTCATTCACATATACATAAAGAAACACGAATATAAAATAATACGAATGAAAGGAAATACTAAATAAATTAATAATTATCCAAATCTCTTCCTCATATTAAATTTAATATCACGAAAGGCATATAAGGTTTCTAAAATTGTTAAAAAATGATATTGATATCCTATTTTGTTAATATCCGTTAACTTTGAACGAATCTTACGTAATGCTATTAAATATGTGGATTTCACTCTAAAGTTTAATAAATCTTTTGGTTTTCAAAAGGATAACCAACTATAGCATAAATTAGTGTAGCTTTCTAATGATAGTAAATTGTCAGAATAATAGTGTCTAGTTTTAGTTGATTTCATCAGCCATTAAAATTGGCGACAAAAAGATTTTGCTAAACTTTTTATTTTTAAATATTTGCAGATTTTTATTTATTGGTATACAGGGTGAGTTTTAAGCAAGTGCAAATATTTTAAGGATGGTATATTTCGACCCCCTTTTTTTTCGCCAAGTAAAAAGGTTTTAAAATGGTGAATTTTTGTCATCGTCCAATTTCGTAGATTTATTAAAATATATTGCCAGAAATGTTCTACTAACTGATAATCATGAAATGAAACCTAATAGATCTTATTCTCTTTGCCCTCAAATGACGTAAAACTATGTTTCATGTTGGATTCCTAATACCGATAAAATAGAGTGTCTAGATGCTATACCTATACAATCTAAGAAAAATTTAGAT